TACTGAAACCGGAAGTCATGGGAAGAACCGGACATGGTGGGATGAAAGCCGTAAGTTTCACACAGGAAGTGGCTGGTAGAATGGGAAGCAGGGGACAGAAACCAGAAGTACCGGTATTGAAACTGGACGTGGTGGGAAATCCCAGCAGGGCGGCTGAAAGGGTTGTGGGGGAAGGGTGGGTGTGGCTGGGTGGTAATGACATGGCAGGGCCAGGGTCAGGTAACCCCCTCACCCAGGCGCTGCACATCACTCCACATGCCATACTTCCCAGCAGCTTCTGGCCTCGCCCTGACCCGGACAGAGAGGGTCCCTGGATTCACGACCCAGAAGTAGCGCTCCTCCATCTGCCGAAACAGGTAGTAAAATCACCTCGAAGGCAGCCCCATCAACCCCGAACTCTCCTCGTGGTGCCCCGCCCACACCGAACTCATCCTGGAACCACCCACACCAAGCTCCATCCACTCCAGGATCCCATGAATTTCAATCCCTCACCGTCTCGATCTCAGGTTCCGGTTGTGAGTTCTGCAGGAAGAAACAGAAGTGGGGTCACAATGCAGCCCCCAACACCCACCCCAAGCACCCAATACTAATACTGAGCACCCAAGCACCCACCCTGAACACACAGCACCCAGCCCCTGCACCCACCCTTCGTATCTCCACCTGGAACTTGAAGTCGTTGTGGAAGAGGCTCTGCACTTCCCAGTGCACGAAGGCAGACACTGACCCGTTGCAAGTGGCACTCACGTTGGGTGGGGCCACAACCTCTGAGTGTGTGTGTGGGGGGGTAATCGGTGGGGTCATGGGGGCGGAGAAGATGCAGTCCCCATGACCCCCTCATTTCCGTGGGTCCCTGGGAGACCCCGTGCATCTGCCCCCAAGTCAGGGAAACACAGGAAGTGGGATAGGAAGAGGGGCAGGAAGTGGGTTAGCAAGAGTGACAGGAAGTGGGAGAGGAAGTAGAGGGGAAGTTGGGCAGTGGAGGAAGTGAGATAAGAAGTGGGGCAGGAGGAAGAGCAGGAAGTGAGGCAGGACGTGGGACAGAAAGAAAGTTGGGCAGTAAGAAGAAGGGGAAGTGGGACAGAGTGGGGCAGGGTGTAAATCAAGAAGTGAAGGAGTAAGTGGGGCAGGAAATGAGGAAGTAGAGGAAGTCTAACAGGAAGTGTGGCTCTCTTGGGAAGAACAGACCCGCCCCACCATGACTGCCCCACAGCCCCGCCCACCCACGAGCTGCAGGTCCACAGAGGAGTCGCTGCACGGCACTTCCGTCCCGCCTCCAGCGCTCCCTGTCACAGTGACAGTGATGTAGGGTGGCAGCACAGTGACATTCTCCAGGGCACAGCCCAGGCGGGTTCCGCCCTCCATGACGTCATAGCGTGGGCACTCACGGTCCCGGTTCCGTCCCTGTCTAGAGGTGTAAGGGGAGAACTTAGCTCCGCCCATTCCTTAGGAGGCTCCGCCATCCAGGAAGTGACATAAAACCCGACCCTACAGAGCTCAGCCCCTCCCAAAAGTGATATTAATTCTCCGGCCCCCGCCGGCACCACCCCTCCTGGAAAACGGCCATGCAAGCACGCACGTTGCATCCCTCCAGAACATCCGGTACTGCACGTCGCGGGGCGCTCGGGGCCCCGGTCCCCAGCGGCACCTCATCCCAGTAGCATGATCCACCCGGCAGTGAGGGGGCGTGGCTGCTGCTGCTCGGTCGCCATCTGCGGGCGAGGGAGGAGCCGAGGGAAAGCGGGGAGGGGTAGCACATGTCAAGGGGACAACGCACGCTTCCCGGTCCTAGGAGTTCCGATGTCCTGACGGAAGACCCGCCCCCTCAGCCATAAGCCACTCCTCTGGTGGGTCATTGATGGGGAAGCCCCGCTCTGGTGGATAAGTGATGGGAAAAGTCCGTCCCTGGTGGATTGGTGATTAGAGCCCGCCCCCTCTGCCGTAAGCCCCGCCCCAATTGAGCTGTGCTTAGTAGGCTCTGCCACTCAGCCAGAAGCCCCACTCCTGGTGGATCACTGATGTGGAAAGCCCTCCCCTTTTGGATCTGTGATGTAAGCCACGCCTTTCAGTCGTAAGCCCCGCCTCCTCAGCCTGAAGCCTCCTCAGCCTGAAGCCTCGCCCTTGGTGGACTAGTGATGTTTGCCCTGACCCCTCAGCCATAAGCCTCGCCCCTGGTAAATCTGTGATAAGGAGGCCCCGCCCCACTGGCTGACGGACACCTGCTTCCGGGAAGAGGAGGGCAGCTCTGGCCACACTGTGGTTACTGGGCAGGAAGACGGAGAACTCGGTCATGTGACAGTGCGAAAGGGACCGGAAGGAGCAGCGGGGACGCCCCACTTCTGCCTGTGGTGGTGGAGGTTGGGCGTGGCCTGGGATAAAGGATGGACTGGCCCCGCCCACTCAACCCTGCCAATGTCTCCCGAGCCCCCTCCCCTTCCTTTTAACATCCAGGGGGTGGGCAGGGCCAAAGGTGACTTGAGGACCCAGCCCCTCCTGAAGCCCCGCCCACTCACCACACCATGGTCCCTGCCTTCTGGCTCCCCTCCTCCACTTCTGGCAGGCAAGTTACAGGATGGGAGTGGCCGGGCTTGAGATGCAGCCAAGCCCCGCCCCTTGACGTACCCACCCCCCCAGAAGCTCCACCCCCTCATCACATCACCAGCTCAAAGTAGGCCCCGACTACTCACCAAGACCTTTGTCGCTGCCTCCTCCTTGTCCCCGCGCCTCCACTTCTGGCAGGTAGGCTGAGGGGTAGGCGTGGCCTGCTCCCAGGAGAGGAGGAGACGCGCGGGGTCGAGGTGCAGGTTCCGGAAGGGCGTGGCCAAGGGGGTAGGACCTGTGTGGTAAGATGTCAGCTCAAACCCTAGGCTACGGCCCGCACATGGCCACGCCCCCGTGATGTCACCTACCGGGCTCAGAGGCCATCAGTGAACCAGTGAGTGCCAGGAGCAGCCAGAGGGCGGTGGCCATGGTGGGCGGGGAGCGAGCAGGTAACCTGGAAACCGCCACACACAGGAGGAGATGAGGGGCCTAGAAACCATCAACTCACACACAAGACGTTGTGAGGAGGCTAGAAACCCCAAACTCCGGCCATGAGGGACCTAGAAACCCCTAAATCACACATAAGAGGATATGAGGGGCCTAGAAACCCCTAATTCCAGCCATGAGCGGCCAGAAACCCCAAACTCACACACATGAGGGGTCTACAAAATGAAAGAATGAAGAAAAAGAAAGAAAGCAAGGAAGATAGGTAGGAAAAAAAAGGAAGGAAGGAAGGAAGGAAGGAAGGAAGGAAGGAAGGAAGGAAGAAAGAAAGAAAGAAAGAAAGAAAGAAAGAAAGAAAGAAAG